GTCATCTTCCTAGAAAATGCCACATGAGAGCCACTCGGCTTGCCATCATGCCACTACAAAAATCAGCTTGTAGTGACTATTAACCTTGGTATGCGGCGACGAGCCTCTGCGGTGACCATACCACCCACCATCCTTCAAGCCCTGGTTCAGGTGTTCCACTCACACATACATGGCTCCTGCTGGGAAGTTGCCAAGCCATTTCCTTGGGGACCAGTGACCCAACCGCCCCTCCACGCCACCCCCACCTTGGGCTCACAGAGAAATGTTCCCACTTGTTTTTCCGAGTCCACCATCCACAGGCATGTCGCGTGGCCTCTTTCCAACTTCACTCCATTCCTACGCTTCTCCTTCCATCGCCCCCTGCCACTCGGAAACAGTGATACACAGCCACCTCACGGGGCGGTTGGGCAATTTAATGAATGTTTATAAAGCTCTCTAAGGTCTTCAGATAAAAACTGCTGTGTAAGTGCAAAATTATTATTAGTTCTCAGCCTCCTGCCCCTTGACTTCTGACATGGGCTTTTGTTGTTCCTGAATGGGAGTCGTTGACAGGCTGTCCAGCTGGCTTTGGGGGAGAGTTGGGAAAGTACACACGCCTTTACAGATTGTGTTTTACCCCTTTGCAAAGAGCGTTCCAACTCTGTGGGGTGTCTCAGAGCTTTTCAGTGTCTGAATTTCTCCCTACTTGCCTCTAGTAAGTACTGTAATCTGTGAGAGTAGATTGTAAACAGGCTACTTTGGCAACGCATAAGGGAGAAAATGGTCAATTGGAAGAAATAGTTCCTCTTATAATGAAGCAAAAACAATATCCCTTACGCATGCAGAATCTAAATGAACCACTAAGTGAGGTCCAGCTCCTCTGCCCAGAGGGATGCTGTACGTGTTTACACATTGAATGCAGAAGAGAATAGAAATCTTGCTTTAGTGCCTGGAGTTCCAGCTCCTGCCCTCACCCTAACTTCTCAGGAACCATGGAAACAGACACACCCAGCCTGGATGATGTTTTCCTGATAGCCTTTGTGACCTAACTGTGTGCTACCTGTAATCCCATGAGGACTGTTAAAGAGGAGGAAAGGAGAAGAGAGGCATGCAAGCGGAATGCCTTGTCTCTGAAGGACAGAGGGCGGTGTGGGATTTGCAAAGGTCTGGAGTGGTGAGCCATGCTGGGCAGCACTCCCCCTTTCTTCATCATACACTTACACCCATTCCCCAGCACAACCTATCACACAGCCCGGAAGGCGCCGCTTGGTTTATCATCATACTTTGTTGGTGTGGTTACTCTGATTTAGCTGCTTTTAAAAACTAAGGAATAATTGCATAACACAAAATCAGTGGGGCAGAGGTGGAAAGGCACAGAACCAAGGAGAAAATCTGGTGTCCGTTACACAGTTGAAAACACACACAAATGAACAGAAAGAATTCAGATGATACATGCTTTGTTCCTTGAGGCAACTAGTCAAGCATAATCCGTACCACATTGTATAAGGAGAATGGACACCAGGGATGTCCTTCTAGGTCAGAAAAGTTGAAGTGGGAGTACAGAGGACTGAAGCCAGCCTGAAGCACGTCATCGGTGGCAGGCTTATTAGCTCCCAGAGCAGCTGGAAACATGAAGATGAGTTCATGTGCCCCAGAATGAATTAAGCTCTGCCTGCTGTGTAGAAGTAAGATGAAAGGGATTGACTGCTTTCCCAGTCTGTTGTGAAGCTGGCTATAATAACAGAAACAGACAGACAGACACAACACACACACACACACACACACACACACACAGGTGCAAAACCTAGCTATCATCCTGATGCTTAAAACCTACGCCTGTGAGATGGCTCAGTGGAGAGAGGCATTTGCCACCAAGCCTTACGACATAAGTTCAATCCCAGGATCCATATGGTAGAGGGAGAAAGCTAACTCCTGCCACTGATCTCTGACCTCCACATATATGCCAATGCATGTGCTTGCAAACATATGTACACAACAAACAAACCCTGGAGACTGAGAACTGAAGACTGTTTCAACGTGTGCTTGTCTCCATCTCCCGTCTCTTCCACTGACGCTGTGCTGCTCTGGGTTCCCAGCTTGCCGTGTGGTTCTGATACTTCTCCTCAGGCTCTTCTGTGTGGTCCTTCACCTTGTTTTCCTGGCTATCATCCCCAAATGATCTGACAGTGTGGCTCCATAATGCTGGATCCATCAATACTCTCCCTGTCCATCATGGCTCTAATTGACGGAGATACTGTGTTTGTCACTCACCTCTACTTTCTCCTCACTCCATTGAGGGTGAGGAGACTCTGCCTCCATAATTCTTAAGCCACCCTCAGACATGTTTTTTTATGTTCATCCTGTCACTTCCCAGCATTACTGAAAATCATGCTGAGCTTTTTTCTATGTGTAATCCTGGCTGTCCTGGAACTCACTCTGTAGACCAGGCTGGTCTTGAACTTACAGAGATCCACCTGCTTCTGCCTTCTGGGTGCTGGGATTAAAGGTGTGCCTCACCACAGCCTGGCCACCTCAGCTTTGAAGTCTGAGTTTAAATGGAGCTAGTTTATATAGCCTTTTCAGGTGGCTGATCCTTGTTGCTCCTGGGACTAGATTTGGAATCTCTTAGAATACGCTTTTCTTATATTCACTGCGTGGCTTTGCCAGGGAAGTTTAACGGAGGAGAAGGAAAGACCCTCCCTGAAGGTAGGCTGCACCATCCCATGGGCTGAGGTTCTCATCTGAACGAAAAGGGAAGAGAAAAACCAGCACCCCTCTCTGTCATTTCCCGATCCATCCAGATGTGAGCGAGCAGCCCCTGCCAGCTTGCCTTCCTGCCTCATCACCCCCATGATGGACCACGGCCCTTCTTAATCCCTGAGTCAAAACAGTCCTTCTTCCCTTAAATTGCTTCTGTTGGGTCCTCTGACACAGAGGTGAGAAAAGTAACAAGTACAGCCCCAGAGGTGTTTCCCAGAAGAATTGGGACCTCCCCAACTGTTTCCTGCCATTGCTCATGTAAGTCCACAATGTTAAGTAAAACAAGTAACTGGTGGACTGCACTGAGCTCATGTCTCCTACCACCAGAATCGATGCTCTTTGAAATACACACACACACACACACACACACACACACACACACACACACACACCAGCACAGAAAGGCAGAAGTGGAATTTTAATTTCTTACATAGTTCAAATGTGAACATTCACAACCAAGAGAATCTAGAAAGAGGACGATACACATGAGTGACAGACTCTAAATGAAGAACTGACAGCGGCATCTCACCAACCAACCAGAATCAAGACTGGTTCTGCAACTAGTCACACAACCACCGGGGAAAATGAGGAATGATGCACACAACTCCTGTTCCAGCCCTCTATAATAGTTTTTAAAGATTTATTTTTACTTGTAAGTAGGCTTAGATTTTTCCACCCCATATAGGGCACCACCTATAGACTTAGTCTTTTTTTTTTTTAATCACACCTATTTTATTTAGGATTCTTAAACACACCTTCCCTTCCAACCCCCCCCACCCTCTGAAACCTTAGGTGGGAGATTAGTAGGGAAAAGGGCTGTAGACCTCTCTTATCTACTGATATGGTCGATGAGTCTTTAGGACTCAGCTGTCAGGATACTTGTTCAAAGGTCAACACCAAGCAGCAACACCGAAGTCAGTGAAAGTTGCAAGACTTAGTTGGATTGCCCAGAGAAACTCTCTGGAGTGTTTCTCTCTATGAAGTCAAGTGTCAAAGCACAAAGATTGGTACAGCAATGCCAATCCAAAAAGCAGTATGTCTCACCCTGCATAGGCTTCCATATATGTCCTCTCCTCAGAGTCCACCCACAGATGTACTCAGCTGGCCAAAGTTGAGGCCCTCGAGTGAGAGAGCCAAACATCACCTGTTCTCTCACAAGCCAACCTATAGCAAAACACCCAGCTTGCAGCAAAACATCACATGACCAAACTGAGTGCAGAAACTTTCACTTCATATAAGTGTTTACCTGCATGTATGTGTGTACGGCACATGCATGCAGTGCCCATGGGGGAAGAAGAGGGCAACTGATTCCCTGGAACAGGAACGGAGTCTGGGAGCAGAACCTGGGTCCTCTGTAGTAAAAGCAAGTGGTCTTAACCACGGAATCATTCCTCCATCCCTCTTGTGTGCTGTTTTTACAAAGGGAACACAAACTATTATCAATTACCTAATCAACACAACCAAACAAAACTGCCAATGGGGGTTGAGGGTCAACTCAGGGTTCTGAAACTGCAGAACCCTGAAACTGTGGGGTAAATATGGCCTCACTCTGCTGCCTGTGTCTCTTGGGCCACAACCCTGGCAGATTAGCAGGCCCTGGTTGGCTTCCAGGAGAGTGAGCCAAGCTCTGCTATGATGAAACCTGCTAAGGATTGCTAGGAATACAAAACCCTGCAGACCATCTTTTAGAAGCTGGTGTGTATGAGTGTGTGTGTGTGTGTGTGTGTGTGTGTGTGTGTGTATTCATGTCCCGGGACATCCCAAGGCAAAATCGGTATAACTGTAGCTCTAATTCCATGGACAGTTCATTTTCACAAAGAGCCCCTGACCCATGAGGCTTTTATAGCCACCACAGACGCATACATAGATCTTTCATAACAGCTTAGGGGTTAGAGGTCTGTTTGAAAACCTCAAGTAAAACCCCATGAATCCCAAGATCAGGGACCCCTGACTTCACCCATTATTTGGAAAAAGAGCTTCCCTTTCAGTCCCTCCCATGGTGGTCACATGGGTTGGCAAGCTGATCATTACTAGCCAGTAGGAACGAAGCTCCAGGATGGATCTGGCAGACTTTAGAAGAAGGAGGGCCATGTCACAGAGGTCTGCCAGCCTTGTGTCCCTGGCTCCCATGTCAGCCCCAGACTCCGAAATAAGCCAGTCATTTACCGCTACCATTTCTGCCTTCTCATTCTCCAGTCAGCATCCAGGCACTCATCCTAAAGTCGGAATCATTTTAAAGACAGAAAATAAGAACACCCCTCTTCACATGCACACTTTTTAATAGCATGAAAGTGATGACTGACAGGCAAACACACTGGGTCAGCTCAGCATCACTTTCACACTCATATTAGTGTGGGTGATACACACACCATTAATGGGACAAAACTCTCTTTGGGAAGCAGATGAGGAAGGAGTCAAGTTCATAAAGAAATGCAACAATGTTACATCAGTGCAACATCTGAAAACTCCCTCCGGCCATGGCCCAGTGGTCCCAATAGGTCCATATCTTCAAGAACTTGTGATTGGTCCTTCAAGAACAAAACATTGAGCCACTCTCCACATTTCTCAGGAGGAGTTCACATAGAAGACCATGGCAACGTCCTCTTTATAGCCTTCTTTGTTTGGATCGATGGGAAAGGTGAAACACAATAGGCTTTCACTCAACTCCAGAACTCTAGGATATCAACAAGAACAACCCAGTGGGGTTACCACTGTGGACAGTACCTTCAGCTTTCCCAAAGCATTTTCACATTCATTTTAGTCAACCCAGACAAACTATATGGTTTACAAGCCAGAAAGTGAAAACCATGAGTGACTCATCCAGGATCATACAGACAGGCTTGGACAATTGTGGCCAGACTTCTGGTTGCACAGTCCATGGTCTGCCCTTCTAGCTTGCTGTGTTTATTCTGAGAGACCTTGTCCATAGTCACTCGGGCTTCTCATCAGCTAGCAATACTATTTAGCTAGACATTCTTTTTTTTTTTTTTAAAGAAAAGAAACACACTTCTTTGAAAAACATGAAAATTCTTCTTTGACAAGTACATGTAGATTAAAAAAATAAATGTAGCATCCTTCTATATTGCCGCTTTATGGATATCTCTTCCAGATGAAAAGACCCTGCTGAGGAACAGTTCATTGACCTCTCATTTCTATGTACACATAATGCTCCTTACTAATAGCAGGACCTTCACACTGGGAAATGATTTGCTAAATATTTCCCACTGGCTCACAGCTTGGCCTGTCAATTTCTGCCAGATGTGAGACATCTGGACTGGTGCAACAAAACAGGACAAATTCAAAGAGGTGTATCCCAGATGTAGAAGAGAGGACACTCATCCTCAGGAGTCTGTCACAGGGCCAGCTAAGAGTGTTCAAAGTTCCCATGACCCTGTTCCACCTGCGTCTCACCATAGCTTTTATATGACTGAAAGGCATTCACGAGGTTGACCAGATAGCCGCGTAAAACACTAAGCTGACAGCCACAGAGAAGCAGTGATGTTTCCATGCTCCATTGTCATGTGATGGTGCTCAAGACCCTGTGGCAGGGAGTAGTGTGGAACCCACTGTCAGGTGAAGGACTTCAGAGAAAGGTTTCCGCCTGAGGGTGGGGTTCATTCTTCTCTCGTCCAGGCGGCATTCAGGCACACTGATCTGATATGCCATTGGCCTTGTAAAAACCAGTGGAGATCCTACTCATACAGTTTCTGTTTTGGGAGGGGTCACTGGCCCTGAATGTTTGCTTGGGGAGGTGACTGGAAGAAAAGCTTGTTCTGTACCAGGTTTAGAAATATCTGGAAAAATACTCTGTAGTCGTGCAAACTTCTGTAAAAAAGGGAAATGAAAATATGTTGAGAAATGAGTCATTGGGAAAAATTAGGCTGTTGTCACATCCTCCCCCGAGAGCTGGCTGGGCACATTATGGAAGTACTTGCTATACTCACTACCGCGCATTGTTTACAAGCTATATACACTACTTTCCCGAATTTTCCAAATCTCATCAGTAGACTCAGATGCCTGACTTCAGTGCTCTCTCACCCCTACTGAGCCAGTGCCTTTGGAAGCAGACATCTGCCAACAAGAACCTGAAGGCAGCTGTCTTAAATGTACTGTCTGACCATCCTAGTTGTCTTCTTATGAATAAGCAACCTTGCCAACCAACCTGCAAGCTCTAGGGGGCCAGGTTCATAACAGCTTTTTCTGTCCTATGCGATAGTTAGCAGGATGCTTTGTCTACAGCAGGTACTCACAGGAGTCTTTTGTTTTATTTGTATATATTTGCATTTTTAAAAACTGTTTTAAATAAAGCTTCTACTTTTATGAAGGGTATATTTATCAAAGTCTCTATATTTAATAAATAGTACAACCAAAATTACATTCACCTTAAGAATCATTTTTCAGATTAATTTATATAATCATTCTTTGATAAGTTGGTAACATCCAGAAAAATCTTAGTATATTATTCAGGGATTCATTTCAAAGTCATGAGTATTGCAAAAATACATGTTTTCACCTTTGCCTGATTATGAAACACCAGCATTTCATTTTCTTCTGATTTAAAATGAACTGGTGATTTAAATTTTTATTCACATACAATAATTTATATAGTCATAGGATATGATGTGATGTTTGTTGATTGATTTTTAAAATGGAAATCAGAGACATGATTTACACAGTAAGAGAGACAGACAACTGAATACAAGACTATAGTAGGTGACAGAAGCCAGCCCTGGGATGGCTCCAGGATGAGTCTATTCTTGTCCCTGTGTAGCCAGCCCTTCTGGTGCCTCTCCAGTTGGTCAGAGTCTCAGATGGACCTGCTCCCTGAGAGCCATGGTCAGTCCAGGTAAACAGCCAGGCAAAAATGGGATGAAGAGCTTCCAGCTGGAGCCTGCAACCAGTATCTAAAGAGCATGTCAAGAATGCCCAAGTACTGAAAGTTCCCCTCCACTGCTGAGGACTTTGGGGTGCCCCCGTGCTCTGACTTCTTAGGCTCAAATCTTAAAAAGGATAGGAAACACGAAAATACCAGTAGAGCCACTAAGAGGAAACAGGCCCAGGACAGTGTGACCAAAGGGGACGACACGACACTGCAGCAAGGCCTCAGCCCCGGGGTGCTGGATGGTGACACTGTGCTCACAGGTCCTGCATGGGATTCTTCAGACTTTCCTACACAACCCTCCTGCCTTACCTCACAGACTGTACACAGTGCTCCCCAGGGCTCGCTAAACCAAAAGGGAGCTGGAGGGATCCCAGTGAGCTTTCCAGTGTGGAGGCCTCCAAAGCCCGGCCCCGCCTCCCGAGGATAACCTCCCTTCATATCTTTCAGTGACGCACGTTGTCTACCAGTGCGGCCGCAGGGACCACGTCACAGAAGAGGTGTTTTGGGCAGACACTTACGCAGGTGAAAATGATGAGTGTCAGGTAGAAAATGACCAGAGAGAAGAGCAGCACCGCTTCAGCCCTGTACTTCCTGAAAGTTGATTCTGTAGCTTCCTTGGGGCATCCTTAAAAGTAAAAGGAACCTATGAAGACATTCAGACTTTTCCAACCTGCTACGTTCCTGCTTCCTCTGGTCCTAGTGTGCCCATCCCTGCCCTCAAATCTGTCAATCAGAAAAAACTAGTTGTGGTGACAGTGACACCAATCTTGAGAGCATGTTGTCACATTGCCCCGGCATATGGGTGGGATGTTTGCTGAGCTTTTGAGGCCAATAACTACCTTAACATCTTATGAGTAGGTAAACCTATTAGACAAGTGAGCTCAGACTAGGGCACTCAGACTAGGAAACGAGGCTGAGGATCTAACTGTCCTTATCTAAGAAATGCAACTAGAATTCTGTTGTATTTGTCTTCTTGAGACAGAGTGTCATGTAGTGCAAGTTGGCCTTGATCTCACCGCGTAACAGAGATGACTCTGAACTTCTTGATCTTTTTATCTTCAAGAACTCAGATTATTGGCATCTGCTACCATCCCTGGTTTTTATTGGTACTTCAAACTGAACCCAGAGAGTTTGTGTGTTGGTGAGCATTCTAACCATCACTGGTCCCTTGACTACAGTTCTCAGAGAAGGCCAGCAGCGCAGGCTAGGGGGACCAGCTCCCTCAGGGTATGTGAGACTGTGGCTGTGGCCTGATGGAGGGCAGAAGGGAGGCCCCAGCCAGGAAAAGCCTGGGTCCCATTCAGGCACTAGCTGAAGTTTGGCCTGTGCTGCAGTGAGGTTGCCAATGGGCTTGGCTCACAGCCTGGCCAGGGGCAGGCAGCAGGCAGAGGATTCCAAGAAACTGTTCCCTTGAGTCATATGCATTTGAGATTGGATTCAAAATTGCAATGCAGCAGTCTAGGAATAGATTCCCACCAGGGTCTATAATTCAATGGAAAAGGTTGAGAGACATTCTCTTAGGGACCCCTAACAATGACTGAGTTTTCTGTCTACCTCGGGCGCTGTACTTAGCATCCTAATGTAATACCTCATTAAATTTAACGACAAACTCAGCGTACAGATGTCACTGCCCCCATTGGAGAGACGAGGCTTCGATTAAACAGTGACAAAACCAGCTACACTTCAGTAAGTGTCAGTGTTAACATCTGAGTCAAAGCTAAACCATTCATTCCTGTCTGACCCTTAACTTGGAGGCAATACTGTGTTGGAAGACAAGATGGAAGGCAATCATCTGCGCTTGTTCACGTCCTCTTTGGCCCTCATAACTCTCTCTTGTTAAGCCATTCTCATTTCTTATCCATTTGGACACTTGGGGAGGGTCTGCTCTCTCTCTCTCTCTCTCTCTCTCTCTGTGTGTGTGTGTGTGTGTGTATGTGTGTGTGTGCGCGCGCGTGCGCGCAACAGTGAGAAAAGCGCGAGCACTGACTGGCCCTTTAAAAAGCAGTCACATGCTGAGGGCTGTCATCTTAGTTCTAATAGCTTTCAGATACGTGACCCAAGGAGAGTATAACTGTTGTGCAAAACCAGGGCCTTACAGACAGCATCTTTGCCGTTTTGGGTCTCAGTCCCTAGCAAACGTTGGGCAAGAGTCAATGCATAGATTAAGCCACACGTGGAGAAAAATTCTGACACTCTTCAGAGGAATTCCCTTCCAGCCACGGGTGTCTTCCTAAGCTGCGGGGTCAGATTCTGGAAGAGGAGAGGCTCCTACAGGCCCAGTCTGTGAGAAGAGAAGGAGTGAGGTGAGCTCACCTGTCACCTTCAGAATCACAGTGCCGCTGAGATTGCGCTGCCCTCCGAGCTCCTGCAGCGCGCACCTGTAGGTACCAGAACTGCAGAGCGTAGTGTTTTGGATAGTCAGAGAATAAGACCTTTTCCTGGGGGCCTCGAAGGAGCTGTTTTGCCGGCTCTGGGGTAGCTCCAACCTCTCGTTGCCACTCTCTGAGAGCTGTGAAGAAGCAACAAATAGGAGTCACACTCCTGACAGACTACCATGAAGGTTTACAACTTGTTTTCACAAAACCATCAAAAATGTATGTTTTTCAAGCAAGACAGGGTGCTTCCCCCCTCCCACAACCCGGTATGTGTGAATTCCAGTGGAGAAGAAGAAAATCTTCAAGATAAACCTCTCTAAGGCTCTGCTTGCTTTGAAACAAGATCAGACTTCGCCTTGTGATTGGAACACCAGTAACTTAACCTCCATCCTGCAGGGATAGGGAGGGAGTCACTGGGGGGGGGCGGGGGTGACAGGGGCGCAATGTGCTTCCCTCTGGGTTGGAGTTGCTCTCTTTTAAAAGTTCTTTTCTTATCTCCAGATGCTAACTCACCCACTAGCTGCGTCTTGATTTTGGATGGCAGCATTTTCCTTGGAAACCTTCCTAAATCTGTTTAAAAAAAAAAAAAAAAAACACTGCCAGCCAACTCAGCTACACCAAGGTACAGATGAATAATGGCCCCTGCTAACGAGCACCCTCGATGTTCAAGGTCACGGATGACGTAGAAGCTGACCCTGCTTTCTTTCTTTATCCCTCTCCTGAGGCAGGAAGATGCTGAGGAGCATGCCGTGAGGAGGTTTTGTGAGTCACATCAAATAGCGTCCGGACAGTGACAGGCTGTCCTGCCGGGCTGGGTGCCCAAACTAGCCACGCAATCCAATTGGCTCAATCCCTGAGCTATCTTGGGGACTGAGCCATGAGTTGTTTTCAGCGTCTCCTAATCAAAGATGTGATATTCACCACGTTCCACATGCTCTCTCTTTCCCATACGCATCTTAGGGTGTATGTGTCTGAGCATGCGTGTATGGATGTATTCGTTAGGCAGGTCCATGTATGTGTGTAGACGCTGGGACGACCTGAGCCGGATTCCTCCAGTGAGATCTGTCTTGTTTTCTGGCACAAGGCCTCTCACTGGCCTGAAGCGATCCACATTCGCTAGACCGGCTGGCCAGTGAGCCCGAGAGCTGGCCACGACACAGGGTCTACAGCCACCCTTGCAAAGCCTGAGCATGCTTCTCATCTTAGCTTGCCAGTTGGTCCCCCACCGAAATGGCTCCCGGCATATCCAACCTTAGACGATGCGGCACACCGTTGTCTTTTATAAGATTCACACTCAAGAAATGTCCAAATAATTAAAAAAAAAAAAAAAAAAACACCAAAAACCTTTCACAATATTTTAAATAAATTTACGACTTGGTGTTGGGCCACACGAAAAGCTCTTCAGAGCCACAGGCAACAGGTTGGACACGCTTTCCTTGAAAGGCTTCTAAAACAGAATTTTTTGGTAACGGTGAAACATCAGTCTGGCAAGTCAGCATTCCTAGACAGCCTGGAACAGCCCTTTGCTGTTTGGCTGGGGACCAGTAGGAGGCCTTGGGACAAATAACATCCCTCACCTATCCCGACTATCATAACAGACCCCAAGAGTCACTGTAGCAAAAGGGACAGATCACCAGATCTTCTGTGCCACAGTGAAGAGTGAGCATTTGGAGGGGATGCTGGAAGGGAACTAAGTAACTAACAGGTTGGGCGGGGTCACCCTGTGGGGGAGGGGGAATGCACAAGCTCACGTTCGTGTGTGTGCACAAGCACAGATGCGCACACTCTGGCTCAGGTCTGTTTAACTTTGGAAGCCAAGCATTGCACAAGGCCACCCGGCTTTAATCCAGCTTTCAGCGTGCCAACATCGCTGTGCAGCGGCCTGCAGAGACATCTGCTGGCAGATTTACGCTCACTCTCAGAAGCAGGCTGAAAAGAATCGCTCTTTTCGAGCTGTCAGTGGACGTAAATCCTGTTTCTTGACAGTCCTTCCTATTTTTAAAGGTTCCTTATAAAATAACCAAGGCTCTTCATGAGGAATCTAAAAGACTGGGGCTTTTGGAGGTTCAAAAATACAGCAACAGCGGGGCTGGGCACCCAATTAAGTCAGCAGATTGCTTGCGGTACAAGCATGACAACCTGAGTTCAATCCTCAGCCCCGACAAAAGAAGAGCTTGGTGTGGCAGTATATGCCTATAATCCCTATGCTGGAGAAATAGAGAAAGGAGGACCCTGGGGCCTGAGAACCAGTCACTTTAGTCAAACTAGGGAGCTCCAGGTTCAATAAAAGACACTGTCTCAAAAAGTAAGGTGCGGAATGATTGAGTATCACCCAACTATGACTTCTGGTCTCCACACTCAAGTATACACATTCGCACATACACAGGAGCATGCTGACCCACAAATCCATGGGAGGTGGCTGAAGAACCTTCAGGGAGACAGAGAACATCCAACTGATTCTAGAACACATGGAGCTGGCTCCTTGTGGCTTATCCCTCTCCCCACTCCTGACTACCCAGCAGAGCCAACCTTACGCCAGCTGACCTCTTTGAGCTGACTAACCCACCTCAGTCTCTGCATAGCCCTAACCAGCACTCCATCCATCTCTTTTTCTAAATCAATCCTCAATGGCAAATATGGCTGTAACAGTTACTAAGGGATGACCTGCCTCTGCTTTCCTCCTGGGTAGTTTCTTGTCCATTAAGAGGGCCTCCCCAGGCCCCCCAGATCAGAAAGCATGTGAAAAAGTCAAGATCAAAACCTACAGCACTCCCTGGAGCTGGTGTATAAGCAATGATGCCATTTTCATAAAGCTAGATGCTGGGACTTGAGGATCAGGCAGCTGTTGGAGATCAGGGATGGTTGGCAGTGGCCTATCTATCTGCAGAGGAGGTCATTTAGAACCAAGGCAGCTCCAAGAGCAAGGAGTACCCTTTGCGGTCAGATTTCTATAGGCTTCTGGAACAAGTCTAGCTATTTTGGCCCAGCTGCTTATAAGTAGCAACACAAAAGCCAGGTGAGATGGTAAGGACAGAGGGAAGAAATGAAGGGAGCCACAGAACAAGGTTGTTGGCGCAATCGCCTGCCAAATTCTGTCTTGTCGAATCAGCACAGCCACCAGTGGAATCACATCCAAAAGGGGTCTCCTCCAAAGACCCTTTCTTCTCAGTGCCGCAGAGAACCAGTGCCAGAGAGCTGGCATAACCCAGGAACTCTTGCCAAATGAGTGATGAGTGACAGCACTCTGCTTCATAACTAACCCCAATGGCGACAACGGCGTCTTGTCTTGTCCATGGGATTTTGTTTGACTCTCTCAGTGGGTATCTGAAATCAGAGGTAGAACTGAACCTGTCTGTGGAAAGGTACAGTGGTTTTCTCCAGTACAAACCCGCTCAGAACAGGTTGGTGTCTAAACCAAGTGTAGGTTTTCTGCTCACATTTTCAAAGTATCAGGATAAAAGATTCATTCTTACTGTGGTCCTTAGTAATGTCAGCACAAGGAGCTTGGATCTCTCTCTCTCTTCTCTCCCTCTCAGTAAGTCATCTATTCCCTTTTTTAAAATCACTTTATAGTTTCTCTTTGGCATATCCAAACTGCTAGCATCACTACTCTTGTACGTTGGGCCCATTATTAAGTAAAATATGGGAGACTTGAATGCAAGCAACCTGATACTAGGTGTATCTGACAACCACAAAGGCTACACAGTAACCCCATGTGGATACAGAGGGGTGATTCACACCCCAGCCAAGACAAGGTGTGAGGAGTCCATCATGCTTCTCAGGACGGCAGTGCTTCTGGAAATGCTCTGCAGCCCTCTCCTAGTTCCATGTTCCAGAATGAGCAATGTTCATTGCCCTTCCTTTTGTTATTTTAAGATATAACTATCCAAAGATAGACCTTTTCATGTGACTCCACCTGAGAAATGCAGGTCCTCCCCCCGTCATGTAAACATAGCAACCATTTTTATGTTTGCGTCACATACTCCAAACCTGAGTGTAGCACTATGGGTACCCAGGAAACCCTTATGAAAAACTTCAAATGATTCTCAAAAGACCTGTGGCCAGGCGCATGGCATCTTGCCATGTCTAGCGTTGGCCGAAGCAGCACCAGGGGCTGACAGAGATGTTCCAGAGGGAGGAGAAAGGTAGAAGAGCAGATGGACCAGCCCACTCTTTGCTTTGTTTTGAGTTCTTATGCGCATTTGGAGCTGGCTCAAAACCAACCACTGGCAAGAGCAGCTTTTTAAACATTCCAAGTCTAAAAGTGTTTTATTGCTTCTCTGCAAAAGCATTTTAGGAAATAGTAATTTATAACAAAAGGAACCCTCCGATCCATTCACAGCCGAGCATAATTGACGGGAACTGTTTAATGCACACTCAGTGATGCTAATATTGCCGTACAGCATGCGAAAGCACAACATAATTTGGGCAAATTAATTTCTCAAAATGCTCATTCCAATGCTGTCTTAAATGCCCACGCTCTGTGGATTAACTTTTATGCTGACAACTAAACTTTTTTTTATTGAATTAGGAAAAAAAAGAGAGAGAGAGATATCCCATTTTCAGAAAGCCTAGGGACTTTGCTTGCCTCAAGGCCTCTAATCTGAATAAATGACTTAAATATCATATTCTTTCTCTGAGACACAGATTTGACCTTAAGGAGACCACAAGACCTAAATCAAACTGAGCTTTCTCTTTAATTTGCTGAATACAACATCAAGTAAACACAAGTACTAATTTTAAGGGCATGTGAATTAAATAGATTTCTTATTGATAGTCAAATTTGAATGAGCGCAAACTAAATAAATAATACTGGAATAGAACCCATATTTCAACTAAGAATTTGTTTTGTCAAGTGTTTTTAAAACAAATTTATATGGTTTTGTTCAAATATATGACAACTAATCAGGCCTGGTGGGACAGCCGGTGATCCCAGCTCCTCATAAGGCTGAGATGGGAGGATCACAAGTTCAAGGCCAGCTTAGCCAACTTATGTCTCAAAATAAAAGGTGTAAAAGGCACTTGGGGGCTGGAGAAAGGGGCACAGTGGGTAAAGTGCTTCCTGTGCAAGTGTGAGGCGATGAGATCAGACCCCCAAACCCCGGGTAAAAGCTAGGCACGCCTGCAACCCCAG